TATCTCTTGACTGCCCATTCTCCATGAAGCAGCCAAATTCCTCTGCCAAATCACAATTTGCAAAGGATTGTTAAATTATGCAAATTATGCAGCCAATCAGAAAAAAGTAAGAGGAACGTGTCAACACAAAAAAAAAAAAAACAAAAAAAAAAAAAGCTGTCAAGGAATAACCGGCACCTGTTTCAAGAGATCACTGAGCTGATTACCAATAGAAATCTGCAGCTCTGAAAAAAATGTTATCACACCTGTAAAATACACAATTATTAATTTACTTACGCCTTTAAATAAGACATACACAAGTGAATTCAAAAAACACATTCAGTAAAGTAATATGAAGGACACTAAAGTACAGAGTGCAGATATTCACAGCAACCAATCAGCTTGGATCAGGAAGAAGAAGTTTAATTATTGGTTGGTAAAGGTTAATGTACTTTTTTTCCCCCCCTTACAACATCCTCCCGCTGCCCTGTGGATTAGCCAGGTAATTTCAGCCTCACTGACACTCGAATTACTCAAAATGAAGCAAGAAGAGCTGTAGTAAGCATATAATGTTTAGCTCATTAAGAAAAAAAAAAAAACCACACCACACCATCTAGCACTTTTATGTAAAGGGTTTTCCCACTTGTAAAAATTTGGCATGGCCATTTTAGTATTAAGTGATGTTCCTCCTTCCGCTGAGGTTGTGGACAGATGACCTCATCACTTTGTAATTTATGAAGATTGAAGATCTCTGCTGTATAAAAGGCGTCGGCTAGAGCCTCATAAAAAGAGAATTGGGGAAAGAAAAAAAAAAAAAAAAAAAAACCATTGCATGCTCTACTTGTGCAGCTACTCTAGTGTCCTTTAGGAAAAGCGAGTGCAAAGATTGTGAACAGGTCTCAGAGCAGAGGATCTGCTAACCACTGGAATAATCGCCCTGTAGAGGTTCCTTCTCCCTTCCTGGAACCAGTGGAACTACTCCTCTTAGACGTAGCTGCGCATATCATGAACCATGAAGGTCACCTTACAGCAGTCTATGCAGGTCTGAATATTGCCTAACCCACCGCTTCCTCAGTGTTCCCAGGATCCTGAGATAAGGCCCAACACATCACCGTAGCCTAAACCCAAGTCTAGTATTTACCTTTCTTTCAATGCTTGATTTTTTCAAGGTTTGTTTTATAGCACAAATTCAGCCAAACATTTAGCAAAAGATTGGAACAGTTAGAAAGGGTTGTAAACTTTGTCTCTCACCCACCCACCAGTAGAGTCATTCCATCACTTCCTAGTTCCCTGACAAGGACAGGAAGCGAGATGCAATTGCCCCAATGGTGACTGGTTGGAGTGCGTCTGTAAGAGCTTATTTGACCATCATAAACCTGTCAGTGTGGCTCAAGATATTCAGGAGATACAAAAAAGACCAATAGGGAAGAACTCATGGCACCAATACCAATGGAAAGCTTACCCAAAACCAATATCAGAACTCTAGATAATCAGTTGAGATGCATCACCTACATCTCGTTTCTCTAACCCCTTTATATTTATTTTCATACCTCCATTAGCAAGAGCTTCTTTGTCATTTTTGGCCCATGGTTGTGGAGTTTGTGCTCCAGTTGCACTCTGTTAAATACAATGTAAAACAGCGAGACTCCTCATAGGCGGAGTTAGAAACAGCCATGATCTTACTGCCAGATACTGAGACATAAAACAACCTGATGGGAGATATCAGTGAGTCAAATCTTCAAACAACTGAAATAGCAGGTTTGCGTACACAGATCCTTCAAATACAGTGTGTGAACAAGCGTCTCTTCTATAAACAGGTTAAATACAAATCAGAATTAGTTGAGCCAAAGAAATAAATCAAGTAGTCTTGATGATTAGGAAAAGAGGATGAGGAGGGCAGAAGCTAAGAAGAGGATAAGGCCAGAGGCAGGAAGGCCGGTGAAGCCTTTGTTGCAAAGGTTGTCCTGGCAGCATGACACGGAAAGGCTTGAAGCCGTAAATTTGAACTCGTCTTTTACACCCTGAACATTGCATTTGCCATAACTCATGCATGCATAAAGGGATGTGCCCAAATCTACAAAGAGAAAAAAAAAAAAAAAAAACACAACACACATTACTATAAAAACTGCATCTTTGTCCTGCAAAAACATAGCAGCGATTATAAAAACCATTACATACAGGCCCGGATTCTCCACAAGGCCACCGAGGCCCGGCGGCAGGGTGCAGAGGGGCGGCAGCGGTGTGAAATCGACGCCCGGAACTTCCAAGTTTCTTTCTACATTTAGTCCTGTTGGGATTTAGTGTTGGGAAGCTGATGGTACGATTACATGTGATCTCAGCGATGTCGCCGAGATCACTTGTACTAAGTTTGCTAGAACTCCTGTATTGGACAGGGTCAATAAAGAGAATAGATAATTATAAAAAAATAAAGATAAAATATAAATTTAGAAATGAATTAAAACTAACCCTGCCATCTGGTTGACATTCTCTATTGATGGGGGGGCGCATTGCAGAACCTGGCCTTGGGGCAGCAAGGAGATCAAATCCGGCCCCGGTTACATGCACAAAACAAAAAAAAGGTGCCCTTTCCCAAACAGGTAATTTTGGACAATGGACTGGCTTGCAATTGGAGTGTCAGGTCATCGCAAAGGTGTTCAGTAGGGATGAGGTCAGGGAACTGTGCAGGTCACTATTTCCTCCACACCAAGCTCCTTGAACCATGAGGGTGATATATTAAAAAAAGGAGCCGAGAATCTTCACACAATAAACGGTTTAAATAATCCAATCATGTGCAGATGAACATGGAAATATTCAAAGTGATTTGATTTCCACATGACTGGATAGCTAATGTGAATATTTACACAATTTATTTTGGGACCATTTGAAATGACTTTAGTAAGTCAGGCTCTGTCTTTATGGGGCTGACTTTTTTTTTTCTGTCCACAAAATAATAAATTATATGGAAGACCTTCATTGGAGCACAGTTGTCTAAAACATCTTTGTATGCGCATTTAACATATTGTACTTTATTCTTGTTATTTAACTCTAAAAGCCTCCCTTGGTTAGACACCCAAAACCTATGAGACTGATTCTGGGTGCTGCCATCTTGGGGGCTGGGGCTGTGATGTGAACAGCCCCAGCAGACAATAGCTTTCCCCCCCAGCGACTACATGAAAGATTATCAGAAAGATCAGAGGAGCTGGGTCCAGCACAGAATAATTAGACACTACCGGAAAAGGAGAGGGCTATGACTTGCACATAGGGAGGGGGCTGTACTTTTTTTTTGTGTGTCAGAGTGGAGAGCGGGATACAAGCAGTCACTGATCAGTGATCACTGAGTGTAGATAATTGAGGACAGAGTATGGTTACTATATCCTCAATTATGAATGTTATGATTTGAACAGGAACACTCAGTATAGAGGATTCCTGTACATTGATAACAGGGGCAGCAGAAAAAGAGATTGATGGCTCTGTGCACCTCTAATTTTTTTTAAAAAATGTATTACTTTTTTTTTCTTTTATAAATTTAATTTTTTTTAATTTTACCATCTTTTACTTTAGAATTCATTACTATTTTTTTACTTATTTTTTCATAAATGTTTGATAATGTATCATTTTTTTTCACTTAACTTTATTGCTATTACACAAGAGGCAACAAGCCCCATGTGTGATAGCATTTGGAGGTGACAGGTCTATTAAATCTGTCACCCTCAATACAGGAGTTCTAGCACAGCACTGCTAGAACTCATGTGACAGCTGAGAGGAAGGGCTGCGAGTGCAGATCTCCCCTCACTGTCTACTCAACCCGGCGTGAAGGGTGGGGGCGGGACCTTTCTGACAGGGGCGGCAACTTACCTGCCTCTCCTCTGCTCGGAGAGGCGGCTCTGATCACACCTGTCTGCTCTCCCTCTCTCCTCCTGGCCGCTCTGAAACTGCAGCGGCCCGGAGGAGAGAGAGGGATCGCTGACAGGTGCGATCAGAGCCGCTGCGGCCAATCGCATTTTTTGCTGTGCAATCCTCTTCTCTCTGGGCCCCCCCGAACTGGCGAACACCAGGTCCCGGTCGCAAGTGCAACCGCTGCGACCCCGGTAGTTCTGCCAGTGCATATATGCAACAGCACCTGAGGGTTTAATAACACTTTAAAGCATTTTATCACTGGCAGAACTACCAGGGTCACAGCAGTCACACTTACGACCGGGACCAGGTGTTCCACCAGTTCGGGGGGGGCCGAGAGAGAAGGGGAGGCCTGCCGCTCGCAGCTACTCATGCAGCCCACGGCGGCACCGCTGCCGCCCGCAGTGTCTTTTGCGGCAGCGGTGAAGAATAGAAGATGTAGTGCTGCGGGGGTGTGGCCTGTCAGGGGACTCCAATTCCCAGCAGGCAATGTGCAGAGTAGTGACAGTGTCTTGCACTGTAATTATTTTTCCAACCAAAAATAAAATGTTATTATTTTTGGTTGGAAAAAAAAGTTACAGTGCAAGACACTGTCACTACTCGGCACATATACAGCAATGAACAATCAGTGCCTACCTGGACCTGCTGCAGCTCTCCTCCAGAATCTCCTCACTCTGTGCTGTGAGCTGTGCTCCCAAACTCTGTGCCTCCAGGGTCGAGCTCAAGCCAGGACGTCCTACAGCGTGGCGTGTATCCCGCCGGGCCTGCTCCCTCCTCAGTTGCCTGCTGGGAATTAAAGCTCCCTGACAGGAGTCACCCCTTGACAGGCCACACCCCGCAGCACTACATCTTCTATTCACAGCTGGCGCAAAAGACACTGCGGGCGGCAGCGGTGAAGACGGCGGCGCCGCGGGCAGCATGAGTAGCTGAAGACAAGACAAGACAAGATTTGTAAAGTAACCAGTCAATCCAGACAGTCTTCAGTAGAAGACTATTTCGGTGCTGCCCCTCCACAAATGTGTTGCCGAGTTTGTTAAGGTCTTGCAAATCAAAAATTTACCTGGTTGAGTAGCTGTCACACAAGTGTCTTGTCCAGCGCCACATGCTTGTTCGGTTGTACATCGGTCTTTACTCCAGCCATTGCACTTGTAACAACTCAGAGCAAGTCCTGTAAGAAAGCAGAGATCAGCAACATGAGAGCTCATGTATCATTAACACCCTTGGGCAACAAATCATTTCAATACCTTTTCATGTTTATGGAGATACTCCACCACACCTAAAATAGTAGGTCCTTTTTGTTTGTTTCCTATAGTGCTCCTGCTAGAACCCAATGATATACCGTCACGCAGCTGGGCGGATCCAGACATAATTGTCGGGATCCGCTTCAGCTGCGGCGTTCAGTATACCACGAGCAGCAGCTCGCGGTATACTGCGGCGTCTCAGTATACCGGGAGCTACAGCTCGCGGTATACTGAGCCTAGGGTGACGGGAGAACGCTAGTTTGTGTTCTCCAGTTACCCTTAGGAGAACTATGGGGAAAATACTTAACCCCATAGTTCTCCTTTAAACTGCCGCTATAGCCACTTTTTTGGTTACAGGATAAGGAATAGTAAAATCGTCAACTGAAGATTTTCCTACACTTCCTCTCACTTCCGGTTGTGTTACTGAGACAGGAAATATTTGACACGTTTTCCCGCATGGTTTTGTAAGGCTTGATATAGGTTTTTGCAAAATGTAGCTGGGCTTAGATGTTTTTCCGCCTTGCCACCCTACCCAAAAGCCCAGAGATATGAAGAATACAGGAGACTGATGTCACATCTAGTACACAACCAGTACTTCCCAGAAATTCCTGCAGCACGTTTAACCACCTCCAGGCCGTTCTAAGCAAACCAGCCTGGAGCTTAGATGGCCTGTTAGACCCACCCACTCGTGATCAGGAAACTACCAAAATTTTAAAAACAGGCAGCCATACCCGTTTACATACAAGCAACTCTATAGCCGGTGGATCACTTGTATGGGGTGCTGATTGGAGTGCCCCCCTCTGCAGCCCCTCCTCACGGGCTCTGGCATGGTGGCTCTGACAGGGGATCAGAGGGTGATCGGTACACGATCTCCCTCTGATCCCCTCTTCGGTGTCAGAATGCAGAAGTGATGTATATAATATTCTCATGGGGGGGTTGGCACAATATTCCCAAACAGGAACAAAGACAGCAACTAAAAACTGGTAGGGGTTTCAATAAAAATTGGCTTTAGATATAGCTTGGATTGATTTTTGATGTGGCTAGGCAGTGGAGAAAGCAAACCGAATCCTGTGGTGCATCACTAGAGCCATCACCAACAGGAGGCCCCAAATGCTCAATACAGATCCTTCGACATCTAAGGGATCATCAGCAGGAGGCCCTGGGTTCCCCATATAGATCAATCAGCAGTAAATAAATGTACACATCAATTTGGATTACTCTCCTCTTTTGACCCCGTCACCACAGAGGAGGTTACAAAGCTTCTGACCCCCACCTGACCACTTGCCCCCTGGACCCCGTTCCTTCACCTCTACTTCGGTCACCCTCATACTCTATCCTACACTCTCTTACTCACATTTTCAATCTCTCTACTGGAATCTTTCCCTCCCCTCTGAAGCATGCCCTGGTCACCCCAATACCCAAAAAACCCTCAATGGACACTACCGACCTCAATAATCTCAGACCAATCTCCTTACTCCCTTTCACCTCCAAACTCCTAGAACGCCTCATCTACAGCCGCCACCTCGCTGATCACAACCTCCTTGACCCCTTACAATCTGGCTTTCGCCCCCAACACTCCACTGAAACCGCCCTCCTAAAAAAAACTCACTAATGACCTACTCACTGCTAAAAACAAAGGCCACTATTTCTTACTCTTGCCATTAGACCCATCTGCTGCTTTTGACACTGTTGACCACCTGCTCCTCCTCAAAAAACTCCAGTCACTTGGGCTACAAGACTCTGCTCTCTCGTGGTTCTCCTACATGGTTCTCCTCCTACCTAAGCGCTCCTTTAGCGTCACCTACAATTCTAAATCCTCCCCTCCTCTTCCTGTAGGGGTCCCCCCAAGGCTCTGTCCTTGGACCGCTTCTCTTCTCCATCTACACCTCCTCCCTTGGTCAGTTAATAACCGCACATGGCTTCCAATACCATCTCTATGCCGATGACACTCAAAACTATCTTACTCCACAACTCACCCCCTCAAGTGTCCGCTCGTGTCACTAATCTATCCTACATATCCGCCTGGATGTCGCAACCCTTCTTAAAACTCAACCTTTCAAAAACTAAGCTCTTGATATTTCCTCCTGCCCGTGCACCTTCTCCCGTATTTTCCCTTGAGATTGTTAACACAACTATCCAGCCCTCCCCTCATGCCAAGGTCCTAGGTGTCATCCTTGACTCGGACCTCACCTTTTCTTCCCCACATCCAATCACTAACCAAATCCTGCCGCCTTCACCTTCGTAACATCTCCAAAATACGCCCCTTCCTCACCAAAGAAACCGCAAAACTACTCATCCACTCCCTTGTTACCTCTCGTCTTGACTATTGCAACTCCCTCCTCATTGGCCTTCCACTACACAGGCTATCCCCCCTTCAGTCTATCATGAATGCAGCTGCTAGACTCATCCACCTAACCAACCGCTCAGTGTCTGCAACCCCCCTCTGTGCCAATCCCTGCACTGGCTTCCAATAGCCCAAAGGATAAAATTCAAAATATTAACAATCAGTTACAAAGCCATCCACATATCTGCCCCCGGCTATATCTCAAACCTGGTCTCAAAGCATCACCCTAACCGTCGGCTCAGCTCATCCCAAGACCTCCTGCTTTCCAGCTCCCTTGTCAACTCTCTCCCATCCTCTGGAATTCTTAACCCCAACCTGTCCGTCTGTCGCCCACCTTGACTGCCTTTAGGCGATCCCTAAAGACTCATCTTTTCAGGGAAGCCTATCCCACCTCAACCTAACCGCTCAACCATCACGGTCTCAAACAATTCATCCCCACGCAGCTCGCTCATGTATCACTTCCCCCCTCCCTTTTAGATTGTAAGCCCTCAGGGGCAGGGCCCTCCTTCCCATCTTGTCTTGTATTGGGATTGTAATGTCTTCCTTATATTGTAAAGTGCTGCACAAACTGTTGGCGCTATATAAATCCTGTATAACAAAAATATTGACCTGGAAGTTTGTAAGCCTAAATGATTGAAGATGCCCATAGGATGTACATCCTCAATGCACTGACAACGTTTCCTTGCATATGCAATTTACCGTGCAACAAATCTTACAGAGCCTGCCTTCTGAACTACAACTCAACGGCTGAAACATGGAAGCAATGCATGATGGGATATAGAGAGTTTCGAGAAATGGAGATTGCATCACATCAAGCAGCAGGGAAAGAGAAGCAAAATCACACTGGGAATCCAGGAAATTGATGAGTGATGGGCAGACTGAAGGCAGCACTCACTACATGAAAGGATTGTTTACAAGGTATGAGCCACCCAATAGACTTGTATTGTGGGAAGCAGCAGTAGAAGCTCTGTAAAGGGAGCAGAGTCTGTCCATGTAAAACATTAAACACACAATTCATAACATGTAAATTAAAGCAGATATGATGGACATTGCAGGAAGCCCGTACGAAGTGGACTGCATCTGCGCACGGCCTGGCACACAGTGTCAGGCTGGGCACTCTGGCATAGATGTCAGTGTGTACGCGCATCTATGACACATTGTGGCGCCAAATGGGCCATTTAAGCTCAGCCACTCCATGCCTCCAGTGCCGAGTACTCTTCAGCTGTGTGCCTTGTATTCTGTGCCTGTTTCGGGTCGTGTAGTTTCTTGTTGCTGACCGGGCTTGCTTCTGACTCTGCTGATCATCCGGTATCCTGACCCTAGCTGGTCTGACTATTCTCCTGCTTCCTGCACGTTACCGAACCCGGCCGGTTACCCGACTACGAGTTGTCTCTTGCTGCACTACCTTCCCGTCTGCAGGTTGCCGACCCAGTCTGCCTGACTTCGAGTGTCTTCCATCTGCCTCTTTGCTGTGTGTTTATATTCCGTTGTACAGCAAAGCAGCTAACAAAACGTGATCCACACACCCAAGTCTTCATCCCGCTGTGCCCAGAGACCTGTATTCATTATCAGGCCTTCTGGGACCAGAGTTGAAGGAGAAGCCGCCCTCGTCATCCAAAGCTCCATCAGGTACGTGACAGATATCTAAATCTAAAATAATTAGAACCTCTAGAGACTTCCTTAAATGGGAACTCAAATAGCAAGAAGCAAGAGTTTTGTTTGCATATCCTTAGAACAAGTTAGGTTTTTTTCCCCCTAAATGCAAAGTCATTGGGTATTGCAGAATGTCAGATCATTTAGGTAAAAAGCAAGACTTGTTGCTGGTTTGGGATGATTGCTCTCCAGCCTTTCAGTTTAGATAAAGCAAGATCTTCTGGTGGTCAACTGACAAAACCATTTCTAGAACCGCTTTGCTTAAAAACATAGAACATAGTCTTCCAATCCCCCAGCCTTATGGTAAATGGAAAGAGACAATACTTTTTAGAGCTGCCATTTATGTGCCTCTGCCCCACCTCTGGTCTGCTCTCTAGATTACAAGTGAAAGTTACCATGCTGAAGATGCAGATCCCAACCCTTTCCCTTCTAAAAGCCTACCTAGGTTGCTAGCCCACAGCTTATAGTAAGGGAAATCTTGCAGATTTCAACTTTAAAGTGAACCAGTAGGCTTACCTTCAAAAGTAACTGCCAGATATCCTGAACTATACTTCACAGTGCTCAAGTACCCCCTCCCCCCAATCTGGGCACTCTTCAAAGCAAATGCCTATGCCACCTCCTTCCCCTCCCCAGGCCTCACCACTCATGCCTCTCCCTCTTCACAAAAATGAAATAGAAAAAGACCTGAAGATTAGGCCGGCATATCAACCCGCCCTTGAATGTCCATGAGCAGAAAAAAAAAAAACATCCCCCTTGAATGCCCCTTAGCATTAAAAAAAAAAAAAAAAAAATTACTAACCTGTGGAACAAAGGGCCAACAAAAGCAGGCCCAGAGGAAGAACAAGACGATAAGCTCCAGTGCTGTTCATGGCTCCTAAAACTAAAGAAAGACACAATGTAAATGTCAAAATTAAGGTTGTGGTTGTTAGAGAATCTATTAAGATAAGTTAGAGCATGCAGAGCCGCTGTGGGAACACCCAAAAACTGCTGGGTCTGGGCCTGCACAACAGAGATTCATTGGCAAGCTGCAAAGATGTAAATGGGTCCTTAGCATATCTTTGTGAACACCATACACTTTAGGCCAAGGTTAGAGTTTTATGCAACTAATAAATTGATCAATTATGGTAAACGTAAAAGGACAAACGTAAAAGGACAATTGTACCAAAAGGAACAGTCTCCCACTACCCGAGGGCTGCTGACCCAGTCTAACACTTAGTATACCACCCAGAAGCGAAGGAACTCCCCAAAAGTGGCCTTTTCTTGTACATGCGTGCTGAGGCCACATGCATTATTCAAAATGGACCACTAGAGGCCATCATGAGCACCCCTCACAATAGGAATTACAGGGCCGCGGTGTGTATGGGCGGCAAAAAGGACCTGGTGGATCCTACCTTCATCTCTCCAAGATTTAACTGGAGTACCCAAGACATAGGTGATTTAGTCTACCAGGCTACACCTATTAAAATATCACTTTTGTGCTGACCCTTTTAAGTTTTAGTAATGCCTAAAAAATGAGCCGCCCTCTTACTGCACCCATTTCGAGAAAATGTCCTACTTATAAAAAGGAGGACAAGGCTGAAGGAGAAGCTAGATCAGGGGTAGGCAACCATGGAACGCCAGTTGTTGTGTCCCATGGGGCATTACAATACTGTGAGCCACAAACCTAACTCTCAGAGGTAGAAGTATGAAGGGCTTTGTAGTTTCAGCACAGCTGGAGTGCCAAGTTGACCCAAGTCTAAGCTAGATGCTATTGTAGCTATAGCAGAGTATTATTGGGAGTCCTAATGGGGTGAAAATTCAGTGGGCAAGTCAAATCACCTGGGTCTACATTCGGCAACTATCTGAAATAAAACTTTTGAGTGATCTCTCTGAAGAGACTCTGGCTTGTGTCGAGGTCACGGGCACCACTACAAAAGCCACCTTGACAAGCCCACATGTCTCCATCAGTAACACATGTCAAGGCAAAACATCTAAAAGCAACAAGGAAACAGCAGACGGGGAAGCCTGCACAAAAAGAGGGCCACAATGAGGGGGACCATACACTGAATAGGAGAGGGGCAGATACTCAGGAGATTCCACAGGAGGTGAGGAACCCCCCTCCACGTGTTTGGGTTTTATAAGCTCTCACTTCTAAGGAAGCCAAAAAACCATCCCACATAGAATGACTAATCTCTTGTTTTTATGAGGTCTATGTACGTAGATGTCGTCTGCAAATGCAACATGTATGTGTCTTTAACACACACACACGTGAAAAGGGTGACTTTTTCTGGAAGATCGAGCTAACAGCCAGATGACTCAGAGGATTGGGTTCAGCCATTTCTGCACCTAGACGGAAATGAGCACCTAACCCTTGCAGTCCAGGGGCTACCCCACTGCAACGCATACAAATAAATAAGTTTATAGCAATGGGACATTTTTGCATAGAGTACAATATGCCTTTATACTATTATATTTATCATCATTATTATTTATTTTTCAGTCAGGCTGCATAACAAGTAAAGATTATGGGGGGAATTTATAACTGGAGCAGAAGACTCTGGAGCAGTTGCCTATGGCAACCCATCCGCTTCTCTATTCAGTTTAGGTTTGAAATTAGGTGGTTGACGATATGGTTGCCATGCACAGCGGCTCCAGTTTTGATAAATTTCCCTCATTGTGTTTTAAACTGCTTAAAAAAGGCATATTGTACTTTATGCAAAAACATTACAAATGTAATAAATATTCCTTTAAGCACAAACCCCCCCTCCCCCCCACATATTTACTTGTTATGCAGCCCTACAATAGTAATAAATAATATGACATGTATTGTCAGCTTTAATTGTTTGGGGATTTTCTGTTCCTGTTCCCATTTCAGCTTAGGGTTGGGAGTCGCTGTACACCAGGAGACGCCCATGGAAGCAAGACGAGATGCCAACAGGTCTACTAGGGTCTATAGTAGATATGCACACGCCTGAACAAGAACTACAAGCCACAGCATGCCTTTAAAGCAGGGGTGGCCAACTGTGCTTTAACTACAGATCCCAACATGCCTCTAGGAGTCATGCCTGTAACTTGTCTTTCAATGCCTCATGGGATTTGTAGTTCCACAACAGCTGGAGGGCCAGAGTTGCCCCACCCCTGCCTTAAAAGGAAATCTGTGCCAAAGAAGAACGGAAGCAGCCATTGCCAACCTCTACTTTATTTTTTTTAAATACTGTTTTTAGTTCAATGAGAAAAAAAATGGCTCAGTAGCCTGATGTAAAGGTATACGGTCAATTCCCAACGCTCCCTCAGACAAAATGTACGGGAGTTAGGGTAGCGGCGCCAGGAAACGACAAGCGCACCCGTGAATAAGGCCCAATGTCCATGTGCGCATTATTGGTCTCAAGTTTGTAAACCAATGGGTAACCTAAACATACCAAGGGGTAGCTCAAATCATGTCAACTCCTTGTGCCACCCGCATCAAGCTAAGGTCGTCCGGCATCGCCAAATCCTATCAAATTTTTGCAGACATCCCCTGCTAGTGTAAGCTGCTTTGTATAAATGTATAGAAGCGTCAATACCCCTCCACTCTGCCAGGGAGGGGTACCCCTCCGGATCCAGTGCAGTACCACCAATTTTCTCGCATAAAACAGCACCCCAATTAGTGTGCGTAGGGCAGTGGTAGGTGCAGCCTGCTCAGTGATCCCCAGCAAGCACATTGACATGGTTAACGGGATGGGAAGTGCTATTACCTGCGAGATAAAGTCAGTAACCGATTTCCAGTAAACCACAATCCCCGGACAGTCCCAGAAGATGTGGCGGAAGTCAGCTGGCTGTGCCAAGCAGTGCCAGCAGAAGGAAGTATCCTGGTATATCCTTGCAAGCGTGTAGTAGACCCTGTGCAGGATTTTGAATTGTATGAGAGTCCCAAACCGACACCAATTGGGAGAAGGGGGTAGTCCCACACCTCCTCCCAGAGATCCGGCACATCTACCGCCCACTTCAGCCTGCAAGAGAGTCTATGGCCAAAGTCAGACCCCCCAATGTTTTTATTCCCTTTTCCAGGCCAGATATGAAAATCAGGGATATCCATAAAGTGCCGCCGTTTTTGGTTATTCCACAGAGGGGCATGTGGCGATATGGGTAGTGAGAGGATATAGGAGTTTACACACCTCATCCCAAGCCTTAAGTCGCCGTCATGGACATCGTCAGAGGGTATGGCGCCCCCACCCCTCTATAGACCAACCCTGTCAAGGCTGCATATGATCCCATCAAGGCGGCCTCTGTCACAACTGCCGCATCACTATCCTCCGCGGTCAGCCAACAATGGACCACAACCCTCTGCCCCGCTAAGTAGTACTTCTTGAGATTGGGTAAGGCCAGGCCCCCCTGTGTCCAGGGCTCTTGGAGGAGAGTAAGCTTAACCCGCAGAGTCCTGTATTCCACACAAGAGGAGAAAAACTGATGCATCTTTTTTTCCAGAAAAAAAAGTTTGTTTTCCAACAGTACAAAGATTGAAAACATTCAGACAAACATTTGCCTGTGTACATAGTCACATATGTACACATTGTGCTGAGGTCAAATACAGTGTATAACAGTCGTCAAGTTAGGCAAAACACACAAAAACAAAATCTAGTAAAATGGACCAGTCAGTATTGTAAGTGGCTGATTACGCCTATCACAACATCCATGCCTATATCTAGGGCAATGGAGAGAGGAGTAACACTCGACTCTCGTGCATTAGGTACAGTGTCAACCTTCCCTGCCCAAATCGGGTGGGAGGTATATCCCAACCACTGATCCAGATGAATTAGTGGATAGTACGTTCAACTGTGGGGAACCAATCGGTCCATGGTCACCAGAGGACATCAAACTGCTTGAGTTTGTCATTAGAGGCTATAGCCCTTTCAAACTTGTGATGGAGTTGTACCAGGTGGAAGAGGTGGGTGAGGGCTGGGGCCTCCAGCGTTTTCCAATTTCTGGCAATAAGGAGACGTGCAGCTAGTAGGACACCTGTGAGCGTGTCAGGGGATTCAACGGTAGAATGTGGGACTTTGACCAGTTCACCCGCAATCCTGAGAACACAGCACATTCTTCAAGCACCGCCAATACCGCACGCAAGGAGGGACCTGCGTCCGAGAGGAACAGGATGAGGTCATCTGCATACAGAGCCAGACGTTCCTCACTCTCCCACCCGGATACCCCTAATGTTGGGAGAAGAGCGAAGGGCCACCACCAGGGGCTCCATCACAAGAGCAAATAAGCCCGGTTATTAGGGGCAACCCTGACGCATGCCCCGCTCCACATCAAAGGGTGCGGAGAGGGCACAACCAATCTTCAGGGCCGCCCTGGGTCTACTGTACAATATAGCAATCTATTTCTGGAACCTCGGGCCAATGTTCATACGACCCAACACCCCAGTCCTGAATTCCCAATCCACCCCAATCAAATGCATTGGCAATGTCCATGGACACCAATGCACCGGCTCCTCCCACACCATGCGCCAGGTGCAAGTGGGTAAACACACAGCGCAAATTGGTGTCCGTGGACTTGCCCGGCATTAAACCTGTCTGATCAATGTTAACCAGGGAATCAATCACCTTAGACAAGCGGGTAGCCAGCACCTTAGTAAGGATATTTAGATCCATATTAAGAAGAGCTATGGGTCAGTAAGAGGAGCACAGGAGGGGACCCTAGCCGGGTTTGGGAAGAAGAACCACATGAGCATCACGAAAGGAATCCAGAAGTTCACCGGATATTAAAGCAGACGCGTATAGATCCCGAAGCCTGGGCGCCAGCCTCTCAGCATGTAATTTATACCATTCCCTGGGCATACCATCTGGACCTGGAGATTTTTCATTCGGGAATGGAGATGGTAGCCAGTATTTTTCGGGAACCGACACGACTGCATCCAGGATCTCCTCATCAGCTTCATCCAACAGGGGCAAGGATAGCCCCCCCAGAAGCCCATCTAGGCGAGCAGAGTCATACCTCAGAATTCTAGAGTAGAGGGTCTGGTAATATGCATGGAACTCCCGTAGGATGGCCTGCGGTTCTGGAACTATCACCCCTCTCAGTCAGGATACATGAGATATTGGTCTGAGTCCTCTGGTCCGCAACCAGCAGAGCCAGAAGCTTCCCATTCTTGTCCCCCCCACTCAAAAAGTGACTCTCGGAGTTCCCGCAGGGAGCATCTAGTCATCTCCACATGATGTAGATTAAGAGACCGTCGTGCCACTCGGAGCTCCTCTAGCGAGGTCTCCCCAGGGGAAGTCGTGAAGGCCGCAGCACATGCGGATTCCTTGCATTGCAATTCATCTAGAACAGCATTGTATTCTGTACGAGAAGCTTTGATAGCAGAAACGTACTCCCCCACCCCTTAGTGGCTCTGAATGCATCCCCAAACATTTGTAGAAGCGGTACCTTCGTTCATATCCCAGTACCTTTCCATAGCAGGGGCCACGCGGCTTGATACCTTCTCCACACTCAACCAACTAGAAGACAATCTCCAACACCCAGAGCTCCTAGGACCAGGTAGCAACTAGAGACTGAGAGGGGAACATGGTCTGACAGACCTCCTGGTAAATAGGCAGCTCCAGCTACCAGGTTAAGTAGGTCCCTGTTGCTAAAGGCCATATCTATGCGAGCTGAGGAGCCATGGGTGTGGGGGAGATGGGAGTAAGCGCGCTGTCCCGGGTTTTTCCATCTCCAGACTTCCTCCAACCCGGCCATGTCTGCCCAGGATAAAAGATCCAAACCAGCAGGTCTGGCCACATTGGAGGAGTCTAAAATATTATTAAAGTCTCCCGCTATGAGGACTGGTAGAGGAAGGAAGTCAGCGAGTTTATGGAATACAGTGAACAATACCTGCACCTGGAATGGGGGTGGCACATAAACATTCACAATAGCAAATTGCAACGCATGTATATTCATCACCAGAATGAGGAACGGTCCTCCAGGATCCACTATGGTGTGGACAATCAAAACAGGGAAGTGATCTACTGATAATAGACACTCCCCTAGCATACACTGAATACGTAGCATGAAATGTTTTCTGGAGCCAAGGGCGTCTCAAAGACAAAATCTTGCTACCATTCAGGTGGGTTTCCTGTATAAGGATAATGTGTGGTCGCTGTGGTTTCAGGTAGTTAAGAATCATAGAACTTGTCGAGACCCTTCACATTCCCATGACAAGATATCAATGCAATGCCACCTGGAAACTCCATAAATACATGTGTGGCCCAGGATAAAATAAAAAACAGTGAGCCAATCAGGCATATGACAAGTAATTGTAACCTTCTGTCTAAATCATGTAAATGGCACATCACCCGTTAACAATCCCCCCTCCCATAACTCTTAAGCTACAACCCCTTGCTTGCTAGTAGAAAATAAACAACCGTAACGACTAGAAGCTTATACCCAAAAACCTCCCGTCCAATAGTCAGAGCACCCCCAGGTAGAAGTGTCCAAGTGCAAACAAAAACAAATCAAAAACCAAAAGCAGAGTGAAAAACAGTGACTGGTGTACAGCATGGTGGGGAGACCGCTGCCACCCATAGGATATCCTGCCAGCCACATAGGGCAGAAGTGCCAGCATCCAGATAAGCGGGTAGGACAGAGATAGAAAGTCTGTGGACCCCCCCCAACTCAGTGGCCGCCCTCTGGCCAAGATCAATCAGTCAGGATGGGGAGATGTGCAACAGCCACAAGGCCGGGCACCCGAAAAAGGTAAGTTCCATTATTGTAATCAATGAACAGCCGACTCCCTCAACCTCATGCTATCCAGCCAATCTCCCGTCTGAGCCGGGGTGGCAAAGAAGTGTACCGTGCCCAGGTGCTGAACCCGCAGCTTGCTCGGGTAAAACATGCCGTATTGGATGCCCTTCTCCAGGAGTCTACGCCAAACCTCAACGAAGGACCTCCTTTTCTCCTGGTTCTCTGCGGAGAAGTCATGGAAGAATCGAAGTTGCGCGTTCCCACAGCAGATTTTGGGGCGCCTGCAGCCAAGACCCTGTCTCTGTAGTTCAGGAGATGAGCTAGGAAGGGACGCGGAGAGGCCCCCGGCGGGGGCCCTACCCGTGGGAACCCGGTGTGCATGTTCAACCACAAAGGTAGGGGCAACTCTTCCATCTACAGTACCCTCTTGAATAAAGTTTCAGCAAACTTTACCGGGTCCGCACCCTCCTCTCCCTCCGGCATGCAAACTACGCGAACGTTGTTCCTCCTCATGCGGTTTCATCCGCTTTTGCAGCCAGGATATGCACGGTGCGTTGCAAATCTACGAGTGCAGCAGTATGCCCATGTACCGTGTCTTCCACATCCGACACCCTTGTCTCTGCAGCAGTTAAGCGGGTATGGATTTTATCCAAGTCATGACGGATTAGAGTGCATTATGCCGGCAGATGGTCTATTTTGTCAGTGAGGGTGACCTGGCAGCCCACTATAGCCGCCAGTATGGCTGATGTCCCACAAGCCGGCATGGGTGGCATTCCCTGAGTCTCCGGGCGTAGGAGTCTGCGGGATGTTAGCACTCTCTCCCTCCATGTCCAGCAGCCGCAGTGGAGACACAGGGACGGAAGTCGGAGAGGCCATGATGGCACCGGCAGCTCCCACGCCTGAGCCCTTCACCTTCCGAGCAGATCTCCTGAGAGCTGCGGCCCGCCAACGAGACCTGGCAGACATAGATCCACTTCCAGGTAAGTCCTACACAGGATGGGGGACCCGGTGAGCACGGAGAACATGTCAGGCAGGAGATATTTCAGGATTAGAACGGAAGCAGTCGAGCTCCACCGAACACGTGTGGTCAGCTTCACATCGTAGCCACGCCCCCGCCAACCTCTGCTTTACAAAATGCCATTTGCCTGGCTGTTGTGCCAATACCAAACATGCATATTACCGAACATGAATGCCTGTTATGGGTTAATGACTCAAAAGTATTGAAGGTAGAGGCTGGTAGTATTTTTTTAGGAGGATATTAGCAATGGCGATCCACACATCTTATTTGCTTGAGTAAAAGACACTTTTTACACAAAGCATAGCAAGTTGCAGTGACATTCATTGCAGATCGCACATCAGGCAGTGGTGAATGCACTTGCAATTTAGAGCATGTGATGGGAGCCAGCCGCTGTGATGACTGCAAAAAAAGAAAAAAAATCTGTGCGTCCTATAAAAAGGAGTTGAAATTGGAAAACTTAATGTTGCTATTGACACACTGCAGTGTGCCTTTAAGGGCCCGTGAGTCTGAACGGGCCCTTAAAGGACAAGTCCCCCTTTCAGACCACAAGTATGGGTGCAACATGAAAAATGGTTACATTAAACCCTTCCCCAAACATTTACCTGAATCACGGGGTACCCGTAGGCTCACGCCAATTTCCAGAAATGGCGAGACTGCGTGTGGCTCTGCCCACATCATCCATCCACAGATCCTTTGACAGGATCGGTAAATGGAGAATCTACAAGTCCCACTGACTAGCAATGAATAGTTAAATCTCTCGGCAACAATCAGATTTAATTACCAGTACAGACGTAGCCTAAGGTCTCTTTCACGCGGCCATTCTGATTAAATCCGCCTGTCAGTTTTTCAGGCGGACCTGATCGGAACACTCAATGTTGCCCTCTGGGCCGGCGGATAAAACGGACGCACGTCCTTTTACCTTCAAAGCCACCTGTGTCTGGGGGAGGGGGGGGTTAGAAATGGCAGAGAGTTTAGTTTTTTCGGATCTAAACCTGAAAAATTGGAGGTTAAAAAAGAATGTAAACAGACGCACGTCCACCTGCCTATAGACCAAACACGGGTCTGTCAACCTCCATTTATTTTTGATCGTGGACCGATGTCACAAAAGTGACCCCCATTCTGGTCTCCTTTGATTCAGCAGTGGATCTGTTCACGGGCACCTGTGGGATCGGAATGGACGCCACCCATGTGAAGGTGGCCTAAAGCCAGCCACTCGCTGCTTGAACTTTGGCCAAGTCCCGCTGACTCGGCTGGAATTGAGTGTGTGGGCTATGCACTTCAATTGACTTTTGTAGAAGGAGCCGGTCCAAAAGGTCTTGGCAGAACAACGACCGCAGCCAAGAATACCATAACCCTGGAAGGGGGGGGCTGGGCAGTTCCCCATACAAACCTTTCAGTGGCCATGCCAAATACCATAGACCTGGGACAGGGTGGGGAAGGGGGTTCTCCCATCCACACCATGTGGTGTTAAAAGGGGAGAAAACAAAAACACAACTACCATACGACCAGTTTAGGATCCTCCATGCAGTTCTCTGGAACTACAGGTCCCAGCATGCCTTAACACCGGAATAACCAGCGCAACAGCCAGGATCTGAAGATATGCAAAATCGGGATTATGTTTTACAACGCTCGGATAAAAAGGATTGCAAACAATAATTTCATTGATTTGCATTACAAATCGGTGTGACAATAAATGCAGATTTTTGCAATAAAAGTCTGCCACCCTCGGATGGAAAATGATTGTAAACCCACCCCGGGGATAAAACACCCAACAGCACGTGTATTCCCAATATAAAAAAATAGACGCACCAGCAGGGAATAATGTGCAAACAACAGCCCAGACGTAAAAGGTAAACCTAAACTAACAAGGGACAATGAACTGACCCCGCAACACGGCAGCTGTCAATACTGTACACCTGGAACCAGACAGGCAGCAATGTGAAGCTCCCATTAGAAAGAGCTGTAGCTGGAGGCGGCTTTGTCTGCATAGAGGTCAACGCATGCAGCACAATACATTGCTTCCCCCCCTCGCTGTGCCAATACAAGAAGCCCCCTGGCAGCAGATTCCACAAATCCCCCATAATACAGTACAAGAACTTACCAGGATGCTGCCTAATAGAAGTATGGAGGGCAGAGAGCTAGGAGAGTCTTAATATGGAGCCCAGGCTCCACCCAGCTGTCATGGGAATGGCTCATGGTTTAACCCTTGAAGTTCCAGTGCTGCTGACTGCAAGTTGCAAATTAGTGTTCTTAAAGGCACATTGCAAAAAAAATAAATGCACCAATATTGCAAAAAGAAAAACAAACGCACATTAATTTGTTTTTGGAATCAGAGCCTGCTAAGCATTGCACCCAGGATGAGAAAAAATGATAAATGCACCCAGGCAGCAAAATGAAAAAATTTGCATTTATTGAGTTCTTTGTGTCAGAGCCTGCACAGCATTGCAACCACGATCAGAAAAATTAATAAATGCAATATTACTGCGAAAAAGAAAAAAATATGTATATTTTTTTTTTTTGCATCAGTCTGCAGAGCATTGCAAATATTATTAAATGCATCCATAATGCAAAAAGAAAAAAATGCTCATTGATTGTTTGTTTTTTGCTTGGGAGCCTGCAAAAGAGTTGTGATCATAAAAAATAATACATGTACCCATGATGCAAAAAAAGAAAATATCTGTAATTACTAATTATTATTTTTTTTGCATCACAGCCTGCAGAGCATTTCAACCGTGAGCAGAAAAAAAATTATAAATGCACCCATACTGCAAAACAACAAAAGGACATGTATTGCTCTTTTGCACAGGAGCCTGCAAAGCATTTTAACTGTGATCAGGAAAATGAATAAATGCATTCATATGGCAAAAAGAAACAAACAAAAAAATGCATTTATTGCTCTTTTGCATTGGAGCCTACAGAGCATTTCAACCATGATCAGAAAAAATAATAAATGCGCCCATCCTGCAAAAAAGAAAAAAAATGCACATTATTGTTTTTGTTTTGTTTTTTGCATTGGAGCCTGCAAAGCATTTCAACTGCGATCAGAAAAAATAATAAATGCACCCATAATAAAAAAGAAAATCTGTGCATTTATTGATTTTTTTTTTGCAACAGAGCCAGCAGAGCATTGCAACTGTGATCAGAAAGATTAATAAATGCACCCATACTGCAAAAAGAAAAAAAATTTACTTTATTAATTTTGTCACTACTGGGATCAATTATGTGCAGTTGACACGAGAACAAGTGCATATAGATAGGAAGTAGTCAGGGTCGGATTAAGATCCAACCAGCTTCAGGCCCACCACTGAAAATAGGCCTGGCCCTGAGATTTACATATGAATGGGCGGCGGTATTTATATAGAAATAAGCTGCGACTCATTCATATGTAAATATCAGGGTCAATTGATATGCAAATTCAGACGCTCCCCCATTGTAGAAGGTGGTACAGTCCTGAAATTTTGCCAGTGTCTCGGTGCGGGAAAGGTATTTCACTTCAGCTGTTCTTCCAGTGTCTGCTTTATCTGTCAGTGTATGTGGCTATCAGCCTCTGTGATAACATGTCAGTGATCAGGGTCTGTCATATTTGGGGAAGAAGAAGATGAAGAGGTTTATAAAATGCTCATATACCCGGCCATAAAAAGCGCAGTATTTAAAAAAAATATGTTTTTAAGGATCTAAATGCAGTTCTATCATTATCATATCATATCATATCAGGTTGGCACAGCCGATTGCATTAGAGTATGCACACAAAAGTACAAACACATGCACAACAACAGTGCATAGGGAGCTTCATGGAATGGGTTTCCATGGCCGAGCAGCTGCACCGAAGCCTTACATCTCCAAGTGCAATGCAAAGCGTGGGATGCCGTGGTGTAAAGCACGCCGCCACTGGACTCTAGAGAAGTGGAGACGTGTTCTCTGGAGTGACCAATCACGCTTCTCTGTCTGGCAATCTGATGGACGTGTCTGGGTTTGGCGGTTGCCAGGAGAACGGTACTTGCCTGACTGCATTGTGCCAAGTGTAAAGTTTGGTGGAGGGGGGGATTATGGTGTGGGGTTGTGTATGTGTATATATATATATATATATATATATATATATATAAATATATATATATATATTTCATACATACACAGACCTGAGGTATCCCGGATTCCCATCTGTTCAACTGTCCCTTACCTCTTCCAGCAGGGGTGCAGTAATGAAGCAGGGAGCTTGCCAGCTACCCAGATTCCTGATTGGATGTGAAGGCTGGTAAGCCACAGCCACGCTCCCTCGCTGCTTCCCAGGCACCCAGGACTGCGGGTGTTATGCGAAGAATGTAAGTGGCAACTGCTGGTGCACTCTGTATGGCTGAGCTGGAAAGAGAGATCTTTGTGATCTCTCCACCGGCTCAGTGACTAAAAACACGGCGCCCGCTGTTGTGGTTTCAGTGCTGTGCTTGGGGTGATTAGAGTGTGCCCAGGCACACCCTCTGCGCACGCCTGTGGCTCATGCACACAAAGATCAGCTAACTTGTGCTGCATTCAGATCTGTAAAATCAAAATAGAAAAATAGGCGCCCGAGATCTGTAATTTACACATGTACACATATAAAGGCACATAAATGCATGTACATGTGTATGTGCATACGAGCGTCAATTTAATAGAATGGAATGGAAGTAGCATTTATCTAAACACTGTTATACTGTTTACACCTCTGTACCCGGGTAAACGCAAGCGCTTTATGGAAAAATTAATGCGCTGTGTTTTGTTGTTTTGTACTGATAACATCTGCCAGCAGCGTTCTGTGTAGATGGGCAGCGTGCCGTTATATCCATGTGCATGAGCTCTAAAGTGCTTTTCGGAGCTGCATTACTCATGAATTGTTCTGCGCCCTCGTACGACACAGCGTTGGTGAAATCAAACTATACATAGCAAGCGCTTGCAACAATTGCACTTTTGTTTCTCGGGTTTTGAGCGTGTTCTGTATGGATACATTGTGTACATATGTGATTATCTAATGTATGAACAAACAGAATGGCGCACTTGTTTGTTTCCCGCTGCGTGTCTCACCCGGCCTGGCTCAGTGGAGATAGCAGTGTTTGTTGAAGTTTTCTGTTCACGCCATGGAAGTTCTGATGAGGACGTCGTTCTTATTGGGGAATATTGAGGACGCTACTCAGCGTCTTGTACTTCAAAGCAAACCTGTCACGAGGCTTCTCAAGCTCATGAAGCATAAGTCACCGCTGGTGAAAACGGCGCGTCAAATCGATTTGTAGATCCAAAGATATAAGAAATTACTGTATATGCAACTCTTGACTTTTCTTGTAAAAGTCAAACTTAGTCCCACCCCCTTCTAAGCTCCAGAGCCCCTCTATTAGGCCACGTTCACCCCAGGGCATATTGTGAACACACATTAAATGTGCACACTTTGATGCACATTCATGTTACATGTACAAATGCGGAACATGCTTGCGTGGCACCCTAAACACGGCTGAGCAATTTTTTTCACGTGCCTGAGAATGCGCAGGAAAAAAATGCGGAACACATGTTCCAAATTGCCGACATGTACTTTCTTTTTGTGGTTGGCGGACGTACAGCGTTCCTTTCATTGAGCCTGCGGGCTGAATGAAAAAAACCCCAAATACATTTCTTTACCCAAACCAAATAGTGTGGCTGGACGAATCTCCTGGTGTGGCTATTGTATTCTGACAGCCTTCATCCACCACTGTCAGAATACATGACCAGTGACTGTGTCTCTCTATTTTTTTTAACTCACATTGGGCCATCTGGGTTATATGTATTTGTCCATGTGTCACATCCAGAGGGCTGCTGGGGATGCTGAAATTCACTGTAATAGTCTGTGCTTTATACAGTCAGCACTGTGGTGATCGTGACACCATCAGCCTAGTCCAATCTGAGAACGCCTGGCATGCAATGAAACAAATATAAGACATTTGCCGAATGGCAGAGGTGCAGGAGCGAGCGACCCCCTGCGTTCAGTGTTCAGGCAGCAGGTTGCTCCAGCAGCACCCAGGAACAGGACATCACTGGCCATACGTAGCACAGACTACTACAGTGGATTTTGGCACCCCTAGCAGCCGTCCGGATGTGACACATGGATCATTCCATATAAACAAGCTGGCTCCATGCAAGTTTAAAAAAATAGATAATTCCCAGAGTTCAGCTTTAAATATACCCATTAAAATGTTTTGTTATCTGTTAGATAAACTGCAAACAGCTGCGGGCGGTGGCAGCTGTCATTGAAATTTAAAGCGCCTTCTGCCCACAGCAGATCGCAGGAGTTCATGAGACTCTGCAAGCCGGTGCAAAAAATAGCTGTTGATCCTACCAGTAATCTTTTCAGCTGAAAATTTCTGACAGAAGCACTTCCCTCTCTCTGTTATGGAGAAGAAAAGAGGGAGAGGTGTTTGTAGTCCTGTTCTGAGGTGACAACGTTGCTTCTCCATGGATACAGTGCAGTTAGTGAGCGTTGTCAACCTAGGACAGTCGGATAGGATGCGTGTTACTGGCAGGATCACCAGGTGAAAATAAAGGGAAAAAACGAATGCAGCCACCGCACCTCTAGGGCCTGGCAGGCTGATGTATAGAACAATTTTTGTTCTTGGGTTTACATACGCTTTCACAGCTTTCATCACCCTTTAATTCAGCATGTCATGTTTCACAATACATTACGAGGTGTCAGCCTGGGAGGACAATTTATAGTGTGATAAAACAGAGGCAGATGCCGCGGCTTAATCACTGAGGGGCATGGCTTCAAAACGGGGCTTATAGATCCACACAGTCATAAGGGAGGTGTTGAGCAGACATAGGAAGTGGTGCCATGCAGACAGATATTGAGAATTACACCCAGCACACAGGACAAGAGAAGTGCCAATATGCTGAGTCCATACATAGAGAATAAGAA